TCCCGGAACCGGCTCCGAGGGCGTCAGGAGGAGGAGGATGGGAGATCAGCTCCTTGCTGATCCCCGTCCGGGCTGTGAATGCAGAAGTGATGTGTGTTACATCACTTCCGCATTCACCTGTCAGTCATCTGGAGAGAGAAGAAGCTGATAAAGCAGATCTCTGCTTTATCAGCTTCTTTTGGGGTCCATAGGTGATATTAGGGGTCCTAGAGACCCCTAATATCTCCATAAAGAGGACCTGTCAGTGTGCCTTTGCTATTATATAGGGGGTTATTATCCCCCTATATAATAGCAATAACAATAAGTGCAAAAAAAAAAATATAAATAAAAAAAAAGAAAAGTAACACATAAAAAATAAAATAAAATAAAAGCCACATATAAAAAAAAGGGGAAAACCCCCCCCCAAAATGTTTAACTCCCCCACCCCCACGTTTACGCGCCTATAAACGTAAATACGCGTCCGGTGCCCCAGCGCGCAAAAATTACAATTGCGCTACACATGTTACATATCGCCGCGAACGTCGCAGTGAGAGCAATCATTTTAGGGCCATCAATCACTGATAACACTAAACTGATGAGCGGTAACAGCTTTTAAAGCGTCGCCTAGGGCCAATTTTGGGTATTATCGTTTTTTGAGGTTTCGCGCGCGCACGCAATTTTAAGGCTTGACATGTTTAGTGTCTTTTTACCCGACGTGACCCCATCTTTTATATTTTACCAAAAAATTGGGTAATAATAAATGTTTTATCATTTAATATAGGGGAAACTGTTTTGTTTTTTTAAATTTCTGTAATTTTTCCTTTAATATAGTAAAAAAATAAAACCCCCAGTGGTGAATAAATACCACCAAAAGAAAGCTCTATCTGTCCCCAAAAAAGGGTATAAAATTCATTTCAGTACAGCGCTGCATGACGGAATAAATGTCAGTTAAAGTACCGCAGCGCTGAATACTGAAAAATGGCCTGGATGGGAAGGGGGTTTAACACCGCGGATGTCAACTGGTTAACGGTGGGCAGACAGTCTGAGTGGTTTGTCTGTCACCTAAAAAAGTTAGAACCTCTGTCGGACTGTAAGCTCACGAGACAGAAAGTGCTCTACCTCCTTCCTCTAATACAGTTCCATGGAACACCGCTGCACAACCAAGGCTTCCACCAGTCCTTCGTCCTAAATGGTAGAAAAAAGTGTTTGTACATGGTTCTGGATCCAGTAAAAATCTTATTTGTTCAAGGCATAAAATCGGACATGGCAGTCCTGCTAACGCGTTTCAGCCAAGAGGCCTTAATCTTATCTGCCTGTTTGGTTGTTATTGCTATGCGTGTCAACATTGTGGAAATTTCCCCCAACTTCCTATCCTTGCGATATTCTGTATTGTCAGGGCAATATGTGGAACAAGTGGAAGTCTTCATTATTAGTAAATAATACATCACCGGCACACACTTGAAGGGTTTTTAAAGTATTGATATGTTTATGCAATACCCAATGTCACATACTGTCATACGGTGCTAAAGTTTCGGGTCCGCACAGGGATCCTTCATCAAAGCGACAGTGACTGCAGTACAAACCTGAAAGACCAATTCTTTATTTTCAGTTGTTTGCGCAGGCACGTAGAATACAGTATATGGCAGACGTTTAATATAGTCAGTGCAGAACATGGCAAAGTCCAAATGTTCTACAGAATGGAACGCATACAGCATTTTAAAGTAGCCAGTAAGATAAGACACAGAAAGCAGCGATATAAGAGGTGTGTTTGACATTCCTATCTGTTCTACATTCCTGAAGTCACAGCCAGCTCCCGGCTGAGTCATCCCAGACTTTGACATGCGGAGCCTGCATAGAGCATGACAGCTTCTATAATCTTTTCCTGTCTCCTCCCTATAGTCTACATCAGCTGTCGTGTGTGTGTGTGGCAGTTTCACTGACTGCAGTGCCGCCACTACAAGGCACTTAGTGGAAATGGGATTCCATCACTCTGTCACAAGTGTTTTCAGTGTAAGGTGGCTGATAAGGATGTATGGTAAACCTTTTCTTGTTCTGCACCCATTCATTGTGCTTGGCTCCACACTGACCTCCATCTCTTGTCCCCTTACGCTGCTGCTTGTGGGTTTGTTGCATGCGCCTGAGGTTTTCCTCCACTCGGTCACAGCTGGCTACGAAGCACCCATTAGTGCTAAGCATCTAAGTTGGGATCCAGCACAGCAGCAAGGTCCTCCCCTGGGTGCTGGTTGCAGGCAGCCATGGTGGTGGTGATGGAAGTTGCTGGCCAAGATAGTGCTGCTGTCAAAGCAGAAGTTTGGGGATTTTTTTTTTTAAGTTAACCCTTGCAGTGGGTCTTTCCCTGCACTGCAAGGGTTAACTGCTTGTTAGGGTCTAGGGCTGAAAATAAAGTTACTAAACCGAACCTCAGAGCTGGCCGACTGTGACAGAACACCCTGCAGCCTGTGTCCTGCACTGCAGCGATGGTATGTTCCTTGGCATCCTCACACATATACCTTAACATGGGAGACTAAGTACATTTCCTGCTAATTTTCTGACTAAGGCTTGTTCTGTCCCAGAATCGTTTTGCACATCATGGATTTCCTTGGAGACCCGGGATGTCTCTGCTTTTTGCTGTATGTAGTAGTAGTAGACATATACCACTTTCAAGACATTTTGCTTGTGGATCCAGATTTCAATACTCTGGTCAGTTCAAGTAAATCTAAACCCAGTTGTTAAAATTTCATATAACCTTAACCATGGCATCTCTTTTTAGGGATGCACCGATACTGGTATCAGTGCTGATACTGGGCTGTAAACAGCCTCCACACTTCACAGGAAGACTGCGGAGGTCCCCGGCAAGGTCCTGGCAGCCTTCCTGTGAATGGGGACATGTGTTTACAGTGCCAGCCAAAAATCTCCCCTTCCATGCCACCTGCACCTGCCAAGACCAACCGGGACCCCGGATGAGACCACACAGCACACCATAGACCTCACACAGCCGCCTGAGAGCCTGCACAGCCCACCATAGACCCTGCATAGCCCACCAAAGAAACTGCATAGCCAGTTTGCTGTATAATGTATCGCTGGGATTTGTTGTCCTCTTTAGCTGATGGTATTATTCTGCATTGCTGTATAATGTATTGCTGGGATTTTTAGTCCCTCTACTGCTTGGAGTCAGTGGCAGAACTATCAGGGTCGTAGGGTTTGCAGCTGGGAACGGGACCTGGCACTTCACCACTGTCCTAAAAATCATTTAGTCTCTATTGTTTTAGAACATGACACTAAGCACAAATGTATCGGTAATTGGTATTGGCGAGTACGTGAGGAAAAGTATCAGTACTTGGTCTGGAAACAATGGTATTGGTGTCACTACGTCGCCCAGAAGAAGGGACCCTGCGTGGCCCCGAAACGTTGGCTGTTTGACGCACGTGACGATTGACTAAAAAGTGCTTTACTTCTTGCACATATCGAGTGCTGGTGACTTCTATTATGATTTAAAATCCTATCGCATGCAACTTTTCTGTAATGGAGCGGTATCTAAATGTTCCATGTGAGCGAAGGTGTTTTATTTCAGGAGAGCTTTATTCCCCTTTCAACTCTCCATTATGATGCACACGAGAGGGGGAAGAACTGGTTTGCCTAAATGTTTATTGCAAAATGAAGAATATGTTCGCGTTCACACCTAGGCAACTTGTCAGTCAAAGCTAAGCGCGCCAAAACCCTCAAGACAAGCAATCCCATTCATTTCTATGGTCCCTGTACACCAGTGGCGGAGCTAAGGAACAAAGGGCCCTGGTGCAAGATTTTTTTTTTTGGCCCCCCAGGGCCCCCCGAGAGCCTGAGGCCCCGGGCGCCCGCACCGCCTGCACCGGCGGTAGTTCCGCCACTGCTGTACACTCCTGAGCGGTTTTTTTTTTGCAAGCAGAAAAACGCCTGTCACTGGAAAAAGTGCATGAGCTGCTTTCTGGCAGATTAAACCACTTTTTGGTCCCATAGACTTCAATGCGAAACTTTGTGCCACAAAATGCTAAGAGGGGAACGGGCCATAGAATTGAATGGGATTTCTTGTCTTGAACGTTTTTGTCATGCTTAGATTTGAGAAACAAAACTCCTAGACATGAACGGAGCCTAAGTCGGGTCGATGAGGGCACAAACAAATAATATTGTGTTCACTTATGTGATGGCGGCAGTCTCAGAATCCACAGATGCAATTGGGATGATTGCTTTCTCAGCCTTACCCTGCACAGAGACTTTGCAGCTTGTGGTACAACAATCGAAGTGCCAAGAGACTGACATTGATCCCCACTGGGGTCATTATAGTTTTGTCACTTACTTGCAAATTACCCCCCACCCCACAACCCCATTCCCCTTCATGCAGCTCTGCAGTCAGCAAGCACTGGATTTGTATTGCAGTAATCTAGTGAACTGCTCTGCCTGCATCTCTATGCTGACAGGAACTTGCAACGTCACTACACTCTCTATGTAAACACTATCCGGAAGCAATGGAGCATAGGCCTACTTTAAAACCATTCTCTGCTTTACTTAAAAGGTATCCAATGTTTTATTGAATATTGGATTTCGTGTTATCACTCCCCTTAATTGAAGCCTATTGATTGCCTTTCTTCTGCCATCGATGGGCAGGCAGCATACGTCTGCCATGGTTTGAATTATGGCTGTTGACAGAACTGCCCCTGCTGCTTCTCGATGAGGTTTTATACTACCGAGCATACATAAATCTGTAAAATGTAATGTTCTATAAACTCTCATAGCAGTTTATTTTTTCCTTTTCGATGGGTTTAATTCTGCATCGGGGAAAGATAAGGGTAATCGTGATCACATCTGTGGTGGGGTTCAGTTCATGGGGGATTATCGTGGTGCTCTGACACTTAAGATTCATGTACCTAACCATAGGCCCTGCAGTTAATGTGACGATTTCCTATTTATTGGCTGTTTTTGCATACAAGTATTTTAAGTGAGTTTGTTAACCTTTTGGCCTCTTTTTTTTTTTTTTTTCTCTCCTAAAGCAAAGAATTGAAATCCATAAACTGCGTCAGGGAGACAACTTGATCCTGGGATTCAGTATTGGAGGCGGCATTGATCAAGATCCCGCTCAGAACCCATATTCAGAGGACAAGACAGATAAGGTTGGAGCTCTTTTTAGGGGATATAAAATATAATCTCCTGTCATCTTGTCTGTATTTTTTTTTCAAGTATTTAATAATAAATTGCCCTAAATATTTTACACACATCATATGTTTTCATTAAGTGTACTTTTAAAGTATATCTATGCCAAAAAAAATGTAATATAGTGCAGCCTACATGTTCTTGGATTTGCTTCGGTGTTTATGTGCTGTTGCTGGCTTTGAACAGGATGTGCTTTCCCATACAAGTCTATGGGAATTCAAAACCTACTTGAAGCAGGTCAAATGCAGGTAAAAAGGAGTTCAGTTGCACATTTCAATTATTTCTGAATGATCTGTAGAAGTGTGTCAAACCGATGCCTTCTACACTAGCTCAAAGCATATGGACACAGGCCCTAAAGCAGATTTATACTTAAAATATAAAGTTTGGCTGTGTAATTTTCACTCCAGCACTAAGGATCAGGAATTATAGTTGGCGAGTTTAGCTTCACCTATAGCAGCTCCCGTTCCCATAAGGCAAGCAGGCCTACCAATACTTGGTTGCCCCAGGGCTTAATACACAGTGCAAAGAAGCACCAAAAGCAGCTCAAGGAGAAAATACAGGTGTACCTGTGAATATAACAAGAGTCAGACACGGACTGGAGTCTCCGCAGAAGAGTAGCCGCTGGCGGCAGGCAGAGGTTGGGGCTGGCGGCAGGTAGTAGCATTATTCAGGAACAAACAGTGGTCTGGTCAGATGACAGACCGTTGCATTGTCCAGGGAGAGACAGAGGTCTGGGCAGGTGGCAGACAGTAGCTTTATCCAGGGAATGACAGATCAGGGCAGGCGGTGGTCAGGTGGCAGAAGATGAGTATAAACCAGTGTCCGTCAGAGGCCAGGACCTGCAGCAGGCTGGATCCGGGGATGAGCCAGAGGTCAGGACAGGCAGCAGAAAGGAGACAGGCTTTCAAAAGACAGGCTGAGGACAGACAGCAGAGAAGAAAGTAATCTAGGGACAGGCTGAGGTCAGGGTTAGGCAGCAGATGAGAGTAATATGGGGACAGGCTGAGGTCAGGGTTGGTCAAGCTAGAATCAAGGTAACTATCAGTATACAGTCTGTGAAGTATAACTATCACTAGCCCAGGGCTTTGGGCTTATGATGTTCAAATAGCGTGCCACAACACTAATGGCCAATCAAGGCAGGGTAGGAGGAGCAGAAAGCACAGAGTTGCGAAGGAATCCTCCCTCCACTGACCAGAAAGACGAGAGGGGGCGTTGCTGCCAGAGCCAGGCTCGCTGGCTGGTAACTGCCACACTAGCCAGGAAGAGGAGAATGGCCGAGCAGAAGCTGCAGGATGAGAGGAGCGTGTCTCCTACTTTTGACAGGTTGCTTAATAGGCATTTATTAGAATAATTTAATGTGACAAAGCAATTGGTTAAAAAAAGTAGAACTTTACCATAAAATTCCTAGTTAGAATTAAAAGAAACAAACTTCCTTGCATACTGTATGGCAGAGCCTAGGCACCCTCTGCTCTTCTCACCTTGCAGGTGCCTGTCAGGGCTTCAACACCATCAGAGGAATATACTACTCGTTCCTATTTCTAACCTTTGGATTATATCGATGATGTCATTAGGGCAGGTCTAAGAACAAGAAGAGCTTTCAGAAGTCACAATTCAGCTGCCCTCTGGTGTCCTTCTGAAGCTTTACAGAGCGAATGTTAATGAGAAGTGCCTGCCACATATCCATCCCATCTGTGTTCTTTTTATCTCGGTCCTGGTAGGCATAGAGGAATGTGTATTGTTATGAAGTGGAAATAGTATCTGTTGTGGGGGTTGCTGGCTTTGTGTCAGTTTTGGGGTGTCATTTTGGTGCAATTTTACTTGCATAGTATATAGTTATGCAATTATCTGTTCTAACTGCTTCTGTTTTGCAGGGTATCTATGTCACAAGGGTCACCGAAGAAGGACCTGCAGAGATAGCGGGCCTTCTGGCTGGAGACAAAATAATGCAGGTACCATAGTTCCTCTACTTTCATTCACTTTTATGGTATACACAATCCTTTAAACATGGAATGCAGTCTAATGTATACATCATTATCAAGGCTTGTTAGAGTAGTTGTTTCAGATATATTTATGAAGGTGAGGGGAAGGTCATTGTTGAGAGGAATTCCAGGAAGAACTATTTTATACCTTTACAGGAAAATCAGTCTACTGTATACTGTAAAAGATATATAACATATACTGATATCCTAATCCCTGTCACTGTCAGTACATAGTAAAATGTTATATTATCCAGGGTGCCATTTCATTCTGACCTGCATCATGCTTTTTTTTGTTGACTCTATTACTCACTGTTCATTTCCAGGTAAATGGATGGGATATGACCATGGTGACACACGACCAGGCTAGAAAACGGCTCACCAAAAGGAATGAAGAAGTTGTTCGGCTTCTGGTGACCAGGAAGTCCCTGCAGGAGGCAGTCAGACACTCTATGAGACAGTAGAGATGTGCTCACTCCATCCAGCAATTCATCCTCTACTAGAAGACCGGTTTAACTAAGGGATCATCAGATACAACATGATCTCTGAACTTCAGCCACCTTGTCTCCATCAGGCAGTAACAATAATGGGTCTTGTTAACAGTGCATCTAGTGTTAACAGTTACGTGTAATCAATAATGTGTTACTTTTTCAGTCTAGCAGTTGAGGCGACAAAGCCTCCCCTACTATTCTGAACACACACTTCCATAATATTCCCTGTGATGTAATATAAAAAAATCAAGATTGTAAAAAAAGGTTTTATTTTTGTGTATGTAGGGATCCAGCATTTACTTGTGCATATATTTATCACCAAATTGCCTTGACTAGTTAGTTAATCAACAGTGATACTTTCCCCATTGACTGACCGAGCACGATTGAAATCCCCATTGACTGACCGAGCACGATTGAAATCCCCATTGACTGACCGAGCACGATTGAAATCCCCATTGACTGACCGAGCACGATTGAAATCCCCATTGACTGACAGAGCATGGTATAAAACCAATTTGTGGCAGGGCTGAATTTGATAGTGTAAAGGAGAACTACAGGCACACAATAAATCCAGCAAATATTAAGCTGTATGAATAGATTCCTAACTGTATCAGCATTTTTATTTTGGCTGTACTGTTTGGCACAAAAGCCCAGAGTCCTCACAGTATTTCAGACCAAAGGGTTGCTAATGGTCATGACTATGGTAGTCTATGCAGGATGTGTGATCTGGTCCAAAAGTAACCCCATTTAGTGATGTATTGTTGCTGGAAAATGGAGTTATAAATGTCCGTGTGGGAATGTTGAACCTCTTATTTAAAATTTAAGGCATTTCAAAAGGATATAACTTAATATTATGATTGTTTTATTGACAGTTTTTTGATTTTATGATCTCCTTTTTAATAGATAGATCAAGTTCATACTTCTGAATTTTGGTAGCTGAATCGCAAACTGGCATCTTGTGTCTCGTGGGGACTGTACTGTTGAGATTTCTTTAGCTAGTCTATGGAAGAAGGAGTAATTGGTTACCTATAGACCTTAGATCAGGGATGGCCAAACTCTGGCCCTCCAGCTGTGGTGACCAACTACAAATCCCGTGAAGCATCTCTCTCCGGGAGTCGTGGCTGTGAGAATCTTGCAAAGCCTCATGGGAGTCTTAGTTCCACCACAGCTGGAGGGCCGCAGTTTGGCCATCCCTGCCTTAGATGATAGTGACCTGGTCTTACCATGATAGTCCCATGTTAGTAGGAGCCCGTCAACCCCTCTAGTGATAATCTGTAGAAACAGTTGTTGCAGTAGTTTAGAAAACCTGTGCTGATCGCTAATACTCCGCTGAAAGTGTCTGTAGTGTCTCCCGATGCCCTTTAGCTCCTGCCGGATCCTGGTGGTTTCTTTATCTTACCAGCATTTGCCAAGACCTGAAATCTAGGTCTCAGATTGACTGATTTAAGAAGTAGGTAAATGAGATCCTGCATTGAATAGGCAATAACCTTTTACTTTTTTAAATGTTTTGTTTAAAATCTCTTCCCCATTAGTACATTTACCATATACACAAGGCGATTCCCACCCTGCCATCTTCTGGCACAGTCTACTGTCTGTGGCCTAAATTTACCTGGGGATAGCAAAGCACCTGCAGCTCCTCATCAAGACCACTGATGTCTGAACATGCATTATTTGTGCTGGAAATTGGCTCCCAGCCAAATAATTATAAGCCACTGAGATTTTCTTATGCCATTATTGTAATGTAATAATAGACCACTAGGTATCAATTCTGGTTCAGTCACTTGTGGTAGAGCCTGTAGGAGAGTTTGCTAGCACAGCCTCTGATGTGAGCATGGTGGCGCACAGCTCTGGGCTCTAACGCTGTGCCTTTTGGGACCAATTATTATAGTAAAGTGAAGAATATAAGCTGGACTATATGCAGAGACATCTGTGTAGGCAGAGGACTGCATTCAGTTCTGCAAAATTGTGACCACTAGCATTGGAAGGGACTTTTGATATATGTATATACCAAAGCTATAGTAACCATATTGATATTATTATTTTTTTCTTTTTAGATAGTAACTACATGAGGTACTAATATTAAAAATATCAAAATATGCAATTGCATTTGAGTCAAAAGAACCCTATTACTTGTATAGGGATGGGGTACCGCTGCATGACAGGTTTCCTTTCTTTAAAGTGCATTTCCACTTTTGCAGCCTATTTTGAATAATACCTATTTTATATTTGTTATATGTTCCCATTCACATAGCATAACTTATAGAAAATATTTAAAAATGCTGCTTGCGCCGTAAGGTGCTTTTTACTTCAACATCCCCCCCATGTAATGTTAAGGAGGGGACTGCGGGTTGTTATGTTTACTCTTATTCACACTGTTTGTCCTGTGCTGGCAGATATCAGTTGTAAACTAGATCTGAACACTGTCTGCCCTAACAAAGGGTTAAGGACTTAAACATTGTATGTTAATGAAGACGCTCAGTTTGACTCTCCTACTTTCACTTTCAAACTGCTCAGAGTAGCCTGGAATATGCACAAAGGCCTTCACCAAATAAACGCCTTAAAGGTAAGAAATTGATTTTTAGGTACACTGTGTGACTGGGAACACATAACCTATTTCTCAAATTTGACTGAAAAGTGGAAATGCACTTTAAGCCTATTCATTGGACACATTTTAAATGCAGCAAAATAACTTGCCACAGACCTGTTAAACTTCTCGGGGTCTTGGTCTGGAGGGCCAGGAGTGATCTTATTGTTTGTGTCTCTGCTAATATTCCTCTAATTAGAGATTACCTTCTGTTTCATGGCCGTCTCTCACTTACTCGCTCCTGCTCCACATAGGGATTAGTCACTCACTCCTGCGCCACATAGGGATTTGTCTCTCACTCATGCTTCACATAGGGATTAGTCACTCACTCCCTCCTCTCACAGCTGGCTTTGGATCTAGAGAGGCAATCAGGCAGTGGGGTGGATCCCGACAATATTGCCGGGATCCACGACAGCGCGGCTTTTTCAGCAGATGGCCTGCAAGCCCACTAGAAGCTGACTTTGGATCACAGAAATACATTAATAAATATACTCCGTTGACCCAAAGAGGACTAAAGCCAAACAGGTTTGTCTTTATTTCTCTTTTAATCCATTACAAAGTGATTTGAATGAGAATCTTTATTCAATCCATAACGTAAATGCACTATGTAGGTGATGAGGATACTTTATTTTTTATTCCTTTGTGTGTGAAGTGCTGTGCTTGCATTCTCCTTTTAATTGGCGTACATCACATAGTTGAACAATAATGCAGTTTATGTACAGCTGCTGAGTAAAGGTGGCCATACACTTTACAACCATCGCAAGACCTTAGTCTTGCAATGGTTGTAAAGTAATTACAAAAACGTACGATCTGCCCATCTTGGACAAGCAGACCGTACTTGCGATCACCGCAAGCCCGCCGCCCTGAGGGGCGGGCTTCCGATGAACGCAATGCTGAACGGGCAGTGTGCGTGTGCGCACACCGGCCCATTTGGCATTTGTCTCCCGCGCACCATTCAAACCAGCCGAAAATCTTACGATTTTCGGCTGGTTTTCTAGCATGCTCCTTAGACAAAAGACGTGCGACCGTACAGTAGAAACGGTCGCACGTCTTCATTCACACTGCACGATTCTCGTACGATCGCGGGATTTCGTACGAGAATCGTGCAGTGTATGGGCACCTCAAGGACTGTCTGCTTACATGTGTGAAGGGCCATTGTGTAGTATATCCCAGTAGCCCTGCCTTACATTTCACTCCACTCCAATTCCACTGTTCATGGCAGAATATGAGCTGGTGCACTGTTACTTCCTTTCTATGTGCACTTATGCTCTTCTTTATGTGCTATTTGAACACAAGTGTTTGTGCTTTTGAAATGTGAGTGTTCTTTTTATGAATCACAACAGGGAACATTAGATCATACACTATATGTAAGGCAGATGGGTTAATGTATGATATAGGTTTTCTTATTTCAGACAGCCTGCTTAGAAAAATTACACCTTAAAAAAATTAAAAATAAACAAACACGTCTCCCTAAAATACAAAAATGTCCATTTATTTCTGTTTGCATTGCAGCTGTGATCAGTAGATTGTGGGTGCAATGCTCTGGCTCCTGCAGACTCTTCCTCCCTTCCATGTTAATGAATGTTCATATCTCCAGTATGAACATGGAGAGGTGGCAGGTGTCAATGGACTACAAGTGCAGTGATGTCGCTGCATTTCCATTGAGAAGTACATGTCCCTCATGTATCTTGTTCTTGGGATAATAATGCTGGGTACACATGTCAATTTTCAGCAAATGTTAAACACTTTCAGCAAGCTTCCAGTCACAAAACCAACAAACTAATCAAGGCAACAGCTTTGATAGAAACTATTGGTCATTGGCTGTTACGTTTTAGTTGTTCTTGTGACTGGTTGACAATTGCTGTGTGTATGACCAGCACTGGAGATCCTGGCGCAGTGCCTTTTTGAATCCACATCAGTTGTGTCTGTGTTGATATTCACTGTTTTTTATATTTGACACCTAAGCTCATTCTATGGCTTCTTCCATTTCCTAGTGAGTGCATTAAAGCTGGCTGAATACATCTGATTGTACAAGCTGTTCCAGGTTTACAAACAGATCTGTAGTGTGAAGACCTCACGGATTGGTTATCAATTGAACTGAATGTATTCAGGTTGACCCCCCCCCCCCCCCCCC